ACGACTCAGGCGTGGATTGACTACGAGTGCTACCAGGTGCAGCGGGGCTGCCGTAGCTCTTTGCTTAGATGAAGATAAGCTAAGGTCACCGACCTCACGTTCTTTCCAAGAACCTATTCAATTGTAGCGAATCGCAACCCGCTTCTTCTTAGTACCAAATCCTTACCAACGCAAACGAACACTTCTGTTCAAAAATGAAACTGTATTGAACTTTTGTAGTTGCGGCAGAGCCGCCAATATCTAAAACCCTAGGTTTTTCTCATTAATATATTATTATCTAGTTTATATGGCGAAAGCTAGTTTATATAGAAATATGCATTACTACTGGTAATCCTGCCCCGTGGTGGCTTCATATTACGGTGTAGCCACACCACTGTGTTATTACACTAACTGAGTAATTTACACCCTATGGACGGTCGCACAATCCTGTGCGACCCACCCTTTCTTTCAACGGTACGTGTAACCGCGTTACATCTTCTTTCAACCGTTAATAATCAGGATCGATGATTTTGTGAATGGAAAGACGTTGCCACTGAAAAATCTTATTCTTACGACTTAAATTTCCTTGGAACATATCTTAGTCGGACACCCAAATCCATAGCGATTGGGCTTTGTTTGTCTTTCGGATTCATCACCAGCCATTCCATGTAAAAGTCGCCACCTTCAATCAAGAATTCAATCCAACTGTCCCGTTGAAGAGAATGTCGGTAATCTTTAATGGATGGATACGACTTGGCAGACCAGAACATACAGCAAATACTTGATAAACCTTCTATAAATTATGAGATCTATGTGTATAGTAAATACAAGATTTACTAGGTGGGGCATATATGACTTAGCCGTTTTAGCTTCCCCGCGCTAAATGATTGGCTCAACGGCACCCCACCAGCCTTCTCGGCAAGCATGCCAAGGTTTTTACGGTGACGCTTTAAATTTTGATTGAGCACACCCGCCCTCACCGGGCTATACATGGCCGATATCCATGTCTGAGGCGTCCCCGCTGCACGGCTCTCAAATCCCGAGTTATTTTCATCGATGAAAGTGTTATGACACCCCGCAGTGGAGCCCACGACGATGCCCAGCTCGTAACCAAAACAAGCTCAATCTCTATAAGTAAGCACAAGAATCAGGCCGACTCGTGATCAATTCACGCTTGAATAACGGCTTTAATGCCGTCCGAAGCCCGCCAGCATTAGGAGCAAAGTCCACAAGCCATCACCCCCAGAGTACCCTCTGTGCTTAGCTTAGCAGCGTTTAGGGAAACCCGTCTCGTTCATGCGGAATATACCTTGGGTACTAGAGGTCTATTGAAAGTACCACTAAGTATATGATTCCGGATTCTACCTGGGTGAGATTCGCACCCAATCTTACGTTGTACAAATCTTCTTTGAGAACCTACCTAGAGCGTCGCTCTAAGCTTGACATTGTAAACTTCAAAGCACTTTGCGGACCTCGAGGTGACACCCCACCAACTCAAGCTGTTGCTATTAACGTCCCCGCTCGTCCCATGAGACAGCTGTATAACTATCGACCGAGCGTATATTTCAACACTCAAGGTTTGCCGCCTCCCAATAGTCGGAAGGGTACTGTGGCGGCGAAGCTGCTTCTTCTGCAAGAGAGATAAAAGCCGAAGGTGGGCCAGGCCGTAAGCGGTCGCAGACTAGGCAATCGTGCCGAATTGGAATTCAAACTCCCAAGATCAGGGGAATCCTTTCCACTACATCAGGCACTGGCAACAACTTTGGTCACCCGCCGGTTCATCAAACGTTTCACGTGACAGTAGCCGCCAGAGCCGATCCGTTATAGATCGAATTTCCCGTGGATGGTCTCATGAGCTCACTCCGTTCTGGCGGCTCACCGACTCACTCTTTTAGTCACTGCGCGTATTCGAGGTTGAGGCAAGACGAACATCGGATCCGCTTTCTGAGATTCTTCATCGCATTGCTTGGCTTGAAATACCCCAAGCGGTCCAGATTAATGTGGATTTTTGAGCAGAGGGTAGCTCGGCTGCAAGGAATGGTACAGACATTGCTTTGTCAGCACCTTAGCTTTCGCGCCCACCTAGATCGTAAGCGTAGAGTCGTGGTATGATTTTGATAAGCACACGTAAAGCACACGATGTGTTCGCTTTCTCTTTTGAATGTGAGAGGATAGATCATTCCCTTTTTTGCTGAGCCCGTGAGCGGTGCGATGTCGCGCGGTCGCATCTTGGTCTTATTCACCGCAAGCACTGCGTGTGTAGATAGGCTAATTGCATTCAGTAAAGTTTTTGTCCCACAGCATATTCCCACGCGTTTGCCTTCTTATGGCGTTGGCGTGCTGCGTCTGAATGTATCTGCACTCAGCCACAGCGTCACGCTCCCGGAAAACGACGCTCAATCTCGATTTGATAAAACCAGTTATCGGCCACGAAGTGAAGCCAGGCTGATATCAGCGAGAGTTGAAACATCAGCCTCTTCCCCACCAAAATTGATGCCACTTCGTGGCCGTGTAAAAAGTAGGAAGTGCCAACTAAACCATTTTTTATGAACTAAGGTATAGCTTGTAACTGCATGCGCTGTATTATTCATCACAAACTCGATAAGTACGAACAACGTACAGTAGCAAGTACTACAGGAGACAACCTTGAAGACCCACGCGATCAACGCTTTTCAACTGACCATCTGTTTGCGGGTTTCGGCGATTGTAATGTATACTCGGGAGCATATTTTCTTGTATAAAGCTCACTAAATCTTACGCGAATATATAGTACTCTAACACCGGGAAAACTGCTTTATAAAACTGTAACGGGGTTACACGTGCCCTTGTGAGAAATGGTGGGTCGCACAGGATTGTGCGACCGTCCATAGGGTGTG